GGTGATGAGTTTGTTGTATCCCTGTCATCAGTACTGGAGAGTTTAGGCTGAATCTGCTGGTGTGTTCAGTTCGTTTTGCTGCCCGTCTGAGATTTAGTCATGAATCTGGCATTAGGTTTTTCCCCCTTAGTAGATTTTGGTAGTAGAACTTGACAATCTGAAAAACAAGTTTCACCATTTTTGGTTTGTGCTGGCCAGGCAATTTCAGCTCCTGCGTAGATAGTTCATAGGCAAGATTAATTAAATAGAATGTATTACTCAGATTAATAACCCCCTGATTTTTAGTATTCACATAGCAGCACTTTTTTGGGAAGTTTTCACGCTGAATGCAATATGCTGCTCATTTTACCACAGTGGTTTTTATTTTAAAGAATTCAGCAGTATATTATTTAAAGTTCAAAAAGTAAGTGTGGACCAGAGCTAACACGTGACAGAAAAAAAACATCAGTAGCCTGTGGATCCCCATACAAAATAAAATATGTGAAAAGTGTGAGAGTTCTAGTCTGGACCCCTTCATTTGTTTTCTGTACAAAATGAAGACGTCAGAGATTACCCGTTTCTCTATAGGATTACCCAGAGATTTTACCCTCATCATACAGGCAGTGAAGCATCATATTGACCATCAGAAGTTTGTATAATAAAAGTGTAAATGATCATGTATCAGGGTGTTTAGAAACAGACAGAGTTGGCTCCAACTGCTCAAGCTTTGCGTTCCACGTGTCACCACCCTTCCTTCCCCGAGGCTGGCTGCAAGGAAATTGCCTCATTAAGCTCTGCAGTCTGAAGCTGCCTGTAAAAAAATCTGGCTTCTTCTCAGAAGGACATACTAGTTTGAAATTGTGCACCACTGTGCTTTAAAAGAAGAGTCTTATCCCCCACAGCAAAAAGTGCATTACAAAGGTAGTCTGTTACAAGTTTCCAAATTGGTGCCCCAGCACTTTCTTCCATTTGAAAATGCCTTGACCCTTGAAGTGGCTTGTTGCCATTGCCCTCTCCCAGACATGTGAATGATTACAATGCATCTAAAACCTGCCCAAGCTAATAATGGGGGATTTTCTTGATGTGAGCTTTTGCCGGATAGGTGTTGTGGGAGAAAGGCTGAGGAATTGGTCTCACTCCCATCATTAAAAAAGCAATTCCAGTATTAGGAAATCGCTGAGCTCCCAATAGTGTAAGAGCAAGCTTCAGCTATTAAAAACAAGTAAAAAATTCCCAAACCCAGTGTTTACCCAGTTAAACAAAAGTATCTATTCTTACCTTAAAAAAAAAAAAAAAAAAAAGCTTTGCCAGCAGCAGCAGGAAGGTGGTGTTCAGACAGAGAAGCCCTTCTCCTTACCTTTTGCTAAAAGGAAAGGAAGAACCTCATGAGGTTTTTGCTTATCCGTCCTGGATCTCATCAGCAGAAGATCCACCATGCTCACATTTTATTGCCTCTTCAAAGGCATTTGCCTCTGTGTCTCCCTGCTGAGGCTTCCGGCTCCACTTCCAATGAGCTAAATGCTAAAGCTTCCCTTCTCTCCAGGAATGGGAGTCTAGCAGGGATTGCAGGCAGGGACAGGCAGCTCTGGGAGGCCTGGGTTTAAGTGCACCCTCCTCCATCAAAATCCTGCTGTGATGAAGCCAGTGTGTGAACAGTGTGTTTGGTAATGGTGGTTTTTTGACGAACCTCCTCCTGGCAGCTCAGGAGGAGCTGTGCAGTGACCAGGCATATGAAGACCAGTGTTTTCCAACACAGCCTTTCTGCTTTTTCTCTGGAGTGATAATTTATTACACCAACAGTGTATGCATCGCACTGAGCTGACTTGGCGTTTTAGGTGCTGTGTAATTCTGAGTTACAGAGTTATTCGCTGACTGCACATGGGTGTGGTTATGCACCAGCTGTGGCAATGCAGTGGTGGTGGCCACGAGATATCTCTGATCTTCTGAGAGCATCATCCTTGCTCACAGAGCATCAGGATGAATGATGGGATTGACAGAAATCAGGGCATGACCTGGAGATGACTACAAAGGGCTTGGGCTGATCTCTGCACTACATCTGATGTAAGAGTCATTCCAGTGCACAGGCAAGGACTGGTGCAACCAAGAGCAGGTTGCAGCACTCCCTTGCTGTATTGAGGGTTGCACTAGTGCCTACTGTAGCTCAGCAGCAGAGTGCAGTGCTCTGTGAGACAAGGAGCCTACAGCCAGTCACATGATTCAGTGTTCAGTGCTACCCAGGCCATCTTAAACAAATCATCCATGTCCCAGCTTCTTTTGACATTATTCTTCATTTCTATTCTGACTCTGCACCCATAGCATGGCATGTACATACCATTTTTCCTCTAATCTCTTTTCCAGAGGAGGGAAACATAGGTGCCTGGACTGGCAAGGAACTCCTCCCATTCACCCCTTCAAGGACCCTCCTGTGCTCAGCCAGGCTTAGATGCAAACAGGGATGGTGGTTGCCTTCCTCCAAAGCACAGGCCCCTCAATTGTAAGGGCTCTGAATGAATGCAGTATGTAGTTTTCTGCGACATGGATCTTCAATGATCTTGGGCTGCATTTCTTGAGGATATCCAGCGGTATCTGATCCCCCACCATGTGCCTTGCCAAATTCTAATTAATCTTCTCCAGAAAATACAGACATTGGAAACTATGGCTAATGTTGGTAAAATCACCTGCTTTTCTTAACCCTTTCCTTGGACACAGCAGCACGTTTTTTGTTGTGGTTTCTCCCCTTCCATAAAAAGTGAGCCTGAGGCAGAGAGCAAAGTGTGGGAAAGTTTAGCTCCAGTGACTGAGACTTGGGAAAGCTGCTAGCAGTGAGAAGCACTGCTTACACTGGAGCTGTGTTGGGGTAGGTACAGTACGGCTGCAAGCCAGTTAACTTGACCACAAATGCTTTTTCAGGGACAGTCCCACAGCTCTTCAGACAAAGGGTGAACATGGGGAAGACTTGGTCTGGCCACAGTATTGCAGCAGAGGTTTTTCATGTTGTACTCTGCTTCATTGTGGTGTTACTCATCAGGCTGATGGAACAAACTTATGACTCAGATTGTACACAAGTAGCTCAGATCGCTCATTTTGATGACAACTCACTCTGGCTTTAGCTGGTGTCATCCACATCACTGAATATTTTTGTCTGTGATACAACTGGCTCTCACCTCATCCATGTCCTTTTTCCTGGGACAGTTTGAAAAGCCATAACTCACAGCCTGTTGTTGGCAGATACACCTTCAGAGAAAGGTTGGGATGCTTCATTATATTAAGCAGGGAAGTTTCACAAGGAGAGGACATGATTTTGCAGCTAGCAGCTGCTAGATAGTAGCCAAGAAAAATAGGTGAGCCACTATGGTTAATTGTGACCATTATGAACGCAAATGTTGTCAGCATTTACCAGATACTCTGCATCTGACGTGTTCTCCCAGTCTGGCTAGGATGATAAATTAAACCTCCATACATGAATATTTCAAACTTGCTTCAATAACCTGGTATTGTGTAGAGAGAGTGTTGGTCAGAGCTCAGCTCCCCAGTGCTGCAATCATATCCCATAATGGGTTCCTGGACTGACAAGTGCTCATGGAACCCCGTGGAGGTCAGTGCCCAGCTCGTTGTCTTCAGCTACCCTGCCTGAAAGTGGGAATGGTGATACCAGGTGTCACCACCCCTGTCAGATGCTGCCACAACTCTAGTTAAAGTATTCTGATGCAAAACTCTGCTACTAAAACCTGCATTTTCTCACTGCCTGAAGCCTTTGTGAGAGACTCAGCTCTTAGGCAGACTGAGGCATCAGTGGGTTTACAATACTGGTACCTTTTTCAGTGTTGTGGAAAGGCAGCTTTTAGGAGAAAATCCACATTTATTGTAGGATCCACCCACCTTACTCAGTGCCTTACTCAGTTATATTCTCACAGTCCCAAAACACTGCAGGTAATTGGCATTGTGTTTGTACAGTTATGGCTTGGGTTTTGTTTTTTGGTTTCTGCTATAACCAACTGTTTGCCAATGTTTTCTCACACTTGTTTTTCTTTTTTTTTAAATAAGCATATTATCAAGAATGCAGAACATCCCATAACACTTAACACTTGTCTTCTTCATCGCTGTGTCTGGTTTAAATGTATTGGATACTTTGCATTTCTTTGTTTCTACTTCATGTTTTATCATAGGACTCCTACAGGGTTCCAAAATCTGTGTTGCTATGCTGTATGCTATTCTTTCTCCAAGTGTTATGTAGTATAATTTGTAATGTAGTGGTCTCAGAGGCTTGGTTGCATGTTTTTGGCTTACATGTTTTTCATAGAATGGTCAGGGTTGGAAAGAACCTTAAGATCATCTAGTCCTAACCCCCCTGCCATAGGCAGGGATGCCTCACACTAGACCATGTCATCCAGGGCTCTGTATCACCTGGCCTTGAATACTGCCAGGGATGAAGCATTCACCACTTCTTTGGGCAGCCTGTTCCAGTGCCTCACCACCCTCACAGGGAAGAACTTCTTCCTTATGTCTAACCTGAACTTTCCCTTTTTAACCTGTAACCCATTACCCCTTGTCCTATCACTACAGTCACTGATGAAGAGTCCCTCTCCAGCATACGTACAAGCCCCCTTCAGATACTGCAAGGCTGCTGTGAGGTCTCCACGCAGCCTTCTCTTCTCCAGGCTGAACAACCCAAACTTTCTCAGCCTGTCTTCATACGGGAGGTGCTCCAGTCCCCTGATCATCCTCATGGCCTCCTCCAGACTTGCTCCAACAGCTCCATGTCCTTCTTATGTTGAGGGCACCAGAACTGCATACAGTGCTCCAAGTGGGGTCTTACGAGAGTAGAGGAGGAGAATCACCTCCCCTGACCTGTTGGTCACACTCCTTTTGATGCAGCCCAAGACACAGTTGGTTTCTGGGCTACGAGTGCACACTGAAGCCGGGTCATGTTCAGTTTCCTGTTGACCAGCACCCTCGAGTCCTTCTTCACAGGGCTGCGTTGTCCACTATCTGATGTTGTCCATTTGCTTTCTACTCTCTAGGACTGCCTTAAAGCTTGTCAAGAACAGATCGAAGCGGTGCTAGTAAACAATCTTAGTCAAGTCCGGCAGCAGCAACAGCAAAGCAATCCTTCTAAGACGGTGGATGAACTGGACCAGGCCAGCACTCCCACAGATGTGAGAGACATCAACCTGTGAGGACATCGGCACAGAAAGTCACGCTTGCTCCCCCAGCCCTTTTATTTTTGTTATTATTTTTAGAGTGATTTTTTTTTTAATCTGCTCCCACGTAGAACGTATTTAAAGCTGTTTTAGGTAAAAAAAAAGAAAAAAAAATACAAAAACTGAATAATGAAAAGAAAAAAAAAGCATTTGGTGCCTGTGATGTTCTACAGAAGGGAATCCCACAATATATTTGGTAATTGCTATTTGATTATGTATCAGTGATATTAAATGCTTATAAAAGCATACAAAGTAGCTAGATAAATGTAAGCCTGCATTTGTGGGAACAAAGTAGAGTATACTTGTCTGTGTATTATGACCTAGTGCATACACCCCTTTTTTAGATTTAAGAAAGGAATCGTGTGTGCGATTTTATGGCTTGACTAGATTGCAAAGCAATAGAATAAGGGGTTTAGGGCAAAGTGGGAAAAGATCCCTGAAGCAATTGAACCATTTTGAATGCAGAAGAGATTTGCTGATCTGTCACCTCTGTTATTAGTCAGAAGTGTTTGTTGGATCTCTGTATGTTAGTTTTGTTTACTCTTGCTGTCTGTGGTAGCTGCTACCTAAGAAAGAAGATGCTTTATTTTGCCAGCCGGAAGAGCAGGTGGTTTTTTGTTGTTGTTGTTGGGTTTTGTTTATTTTTCTTGGGGTTTTTTTTCAACTTCCCCCTCTCCCCTCTTGACTTTTTCTACTTTTCCTTCAGAAATGGCTCATTTTAAACACAGCAGCATCTTTGGCATAAGGGCAATTCCGATTACCCAACTGTGGTCCAAGCCAAAGTTACAGAGTGTTCGCATTAGGTGGGGGAATGCACCAATTCAGTCAGACCACCTCCAACCTTTGGATTGCAAGATGCAGTGGGTCATCTGTGAAAAGCATTATATTCCTTTACAGTGCTAATGCTTCACATCAATGTTAACTTGTGGCAGCTCCTTAGCTTGGCCGTAAAGATATTTAAATGATGCTCTATCCATCTTCATATTTAACATAACCTCACTGTGTTAAAGAAGATGAGATTCGGTTTGATCCCTCTGCCAGCTACCCACCTTCCCCCATTGACCCGCACACGCTTTCAGCATTTCGTTAACTTTATTGATCCATAGTGAGGGTTTTTGTAAACCATTTTGTTCAAAAAGCACTTTGAAAATTGTTCCTAAGGGATTAAATGAGATGGTTTATGATGATTTTGCCAAGGAAAAAAAAAAACACCAAAAAAGAAAGAAAAAAAGAGAAAAAAGAATGAAAAACGAAAGAAAAAAAGAAAAGTCACAAAAGCAAAGCATATAGCTTTTTATAGTCAATATTTTTCAGTATCTGGTGTACTTGGTTAGTTGCGGTGTTGCTGGAAATGCCAGCACCTGCTTCCGATGACATTCCTGTCATGACATTCCGGATAAGAGCCTGACGATTTGTATTGTTCACTGTCACAGAAGGATCTTAATACCACCTGCATGCTTATCTATGGACAACGAAAGAAAATTGCTGGTGCAAAAGACATGAGTGGTAAACACCAAGGTGTGCGACTTGGAGTTTGATTACAAAGGTGTATTCAGCGTACTTGAATTTATTTTTCTGCTCCATCTGTAACGAAGAGTCATTTAGATGGAAAGGAGTTGGAGCAACTTGGTTTTCTTTTTTTTTTCTTTTCCTTTTTTTTTTTTTTTTTGCACAGTTGTATTAACAGTTTGCAAATATTCAGTATGAAGCTGTTGGTTGAAAAGTTAATGTTTGCATTTTTAAGACAAAAATCCAGAAAGAACATGCTACTTCGAAGAATATTATATGAATGGACTCAGCCGTATTTGGCTAGATGAGGGTAGAAAATGGAGTAAGATTCTAAGGTTTTGTTGGGTTGTTTTTTGGTTGTTTTTTTTGTTTGTTTGTTTTTTTGGGGGGGTTTGGTTTCATTTTGGGTTTGTTTTTTTTTGCGCTGCTAAGAAGCTATGATTTGTTTCATTCTTATTCACATTAACAGTACTTAGCTGTATTGTTTCACTGAGTGTGCTGCTATTTTATAAACATTTTTATAATATATTATTTTACTGCTTAAATTTCAAATCCTGAAGTAGATGGTTAAGTGGAGATATGATGAGTTCTTTGATTTACTGGAAATGCCCTGTACAGTCTGTTTGTTTTCTTTTTTTTTTCTAATAGCGTGTTCATGATCTTTTTTTTTATTTTTTCCTTCTCTCTTTCTTTTTTTTTTTTTTTTTTTTTAATATTTCTTCCCTTCCTTCCTGGTCACATCCTGCAAAGATGGTATACTTACCTCAGGTTTACTGGACAAAACAGAAATGGTTCCCATTTTCACAATACCTCACAACACGACAGTTTGGTTTTGTCCCGGGGCCCACGCTCTGGCCACTCCAGGGAGGGGTTTGCAGGCAGCCGGGGCCCTGGCTCCCTTTTGGTCTTCTTTGGTATCCTTTTCATGGTGGAAAAAATGCACTGACTTTGACTCTCCACTGATGGCTTCACCAGAGCAGATCCATGTTTCCCAACACTGGTGGTGGGGACAGCCTTGTTCTCACCGCCATCACTTCCCACCTTCATGTTCCACGTTGGGAGCAGTTGAAGTTCTGCAGCACTCTCTCTTCTGGAGGACAGAAAAATAGCTAATTTTGTGGAAGTAGGACTTGGAAGCTGCACACACCATGTATGTGACAGATCAGCTCATTCCCTGACAGCTCTCCTACGGTAGCAAATGGGGCTTCACAGGGAGGTGTGCCAAAGGGTCCCCAGACGGTGGAATGACTTCTCTATGCACTGGGGCTGTAGTGCTGCTGCCTGCAGCAGCCACAGATACCATGTCCATCATGTTAGCATGGTTTGTTCCACTCTGTGCTGTAGGTGCAAGTAATACTTAAGGTGCCTGCCCCTGCTCTTCATCCCACTTCCTGCAGTGCCCCAGTGCCATGTGGGAATCTCCTCTTGCATTATCCCTCTGGGGCTCCGCAGTGCTGCCAGGAATGGGGGTGAGGTCTGCCACCAAGGTCCGCTCCTTGCACAGTGGTTGGAGGTGGAAGTTGTGCTGGAACAGAGCCCCAGTCCCTTGTAGGGACCTGGTGGGTCTCTGTGGATCACCACCAGGGCTAAGAGTGCATTCGGAAGATCTAACAGCCTGGTTATACTGAGAAGCGAACTGTATCTGAAGTCTGGAAAACGTACAACTTGACCATTTTCACATTGGTGATCTAAGTAGAAACACTGCGTAGTGCTCCTGCTTAGCAGGTGGAAAAAAAATGCGTATATACTATTATTGCAAATTAGGTGTGAGACTGTTCTGCCTGTATTGGAGAAATCATAAACCTTCCTATTGATTAATTCAAAAAACAATGATGCTGATTATACCTTCACAAATACCAAAAGGACTGGCACAGTTACTAACAGCATTTCTCTCCCACATTCCTACTGATGGTACTTTGATGATCTTCCCCTCCCTCCCATTACTGCAGCGTAGGAGCACCTCGTAAGATATTTATTTATATCCCCAGTGTGCTTGTGAAAAGAGAAAAATGTATTAATCCCAGTTCAGTGTCAATGATTTGTGCTGGAATAATCGGAGGGCTCTCAGTTACTCACCAAACCACCTGGCCACTGGATTTTTTCCACTATGTTCCTTACCATGTTCTCATGTACCTCAGAAATCACTCTCAGTTGCACAGTTCTGTTCTCAAAGTTTTGTTTTTTGATTTTTTTTTTTTGTTTTTTTTTTCTTCATTGAGTGTGATGCCATATCAAGTCAACGTTACTCTCACAATGTGCTCTTTAAGAGGTGTGGATGTTTATATGGTCAGGGGATGCTAGAAAGTGCAGTAGTAGACATGATCAGTGTAAACAAAAGTATTTAGAAAGTACGCGAGGTTGTTTTCGATGGATAAGACTCTGATACAGTGTAGTCTCGATTACCTTTTAAAAGGTCTTCTTTGTTCAGTGTTGTCATTTTTATTAATAACCTGTTGTTTTGACTAGTTTAAAGATGGTTCTAAGAAAAGTGTTTTGGCGGGATTAGGTATGCAGTATGGACAATAAACTCACCTTGACCTAAGTTTGTCTGTCTTGGTTTTATTCATTCAGTGTGAAGATGGTGCAAAAGAAGATGGGATTCTAAAGTCCCTGATCTAGATAGATGATGTTAGCAGGCGTATAAAACGTGAACTCTTGAATGTTGCAGTCTCAGAAACAGTTTTGCTCTAAAACATAGCTCATTGCCTGCTGGATAGGAAAACCCTGGCATGTTTCTTCAGTGAAATGACCCCATGAGATTCAAGGAGAACAAAATCCTAAAAATGGTAAATTGCTGGATTAAAACAGTTTGTGGAAATTAAACTGAGCTGGTGGAAAAGTCCTCGTAAGTACATGGAGTGCACGTTTTTGCCACTAATTGAAATACTATTGAAATCTCCAGTCAGTTACTTGTGTTTAAATGCTACTCCAAGAAAAAAAGAACATTTGTTTTTCTTTCTATGAGCTTTGGGCAAACTGTGAATAAAGAGAGGGCTTTGTGGTGAAGCCAGCAGGAAGAGCTGAGCCTCCAGGTGCAGAGGCTCCTTTCTCAGCCTGTGGCCAGGTGGTGGGATGCTCGTAATCTGCCTGTCCTGCTCCCATGTCTTCTGCTTGTGGATGCTTGCTGTGAAGTGACTAACCTCCCATGTGACATGCTCAGCCTGACCTCAGTGTCTCTCCTTCTCCACTGCCATCTTCTACTGAGTTTCAGGCACCCCTGGGAAGAGGCAGTGGGGGGACAGAGAGGTGTTTGGGCAGACACACTGGGGAAAAAAGTAACCCCATAATAAAGTGAATAATACAGCTAAAACCAGAGAAGAGAAATGAAAGAAAACCAACAAAAAAAAAAAGGGGGGGGGGGGAGAAGGAAAAAGAGATACAATGAACAGCAAGCAGAAATACTCGAAAAACATGTATTACAAACATGAAGAAACATATGAGCGAAATTAATAAATATGAACAAATAGAAAAAAGCCATGGAGGGACAGGAAATACAAACTAAATCATGAGGCTGTGAGTCCCCTAAAAACTCGGGACCTGTGGCTTTAGGCAAAGTCTGTTAAGACTTCCCTGCAAAGTGATGGGTTAGCCTCATACTTCAGAGGCTGACTGCACCAAAGGTAGAGATTTTAAAGCATAGCAAGTCCACATGTTTCTCTGGCCACCATTTAACAACATGACCTGTAATCTGCAGCATTTCATAGGCATAACTTTGATCCTTTGAAGAACTGGAACTTGTGAGGGTTCCAGTTTGTGATTTAAAGCTCAAAGGGGTAGTCCTCGGCCTAATTTCAGGTTTTAGGGGATTAACTCCTTTCCCACTATAGTGTTGCCAATAGTCATCCAAGAACTACATGGATGTGCTCCACAGCTTTGTGTTCTAAGAGGTTTTACTAAATATAGATTTAGCAGAAAAGAGATCTTATACTGTCATTTAAGTAAATGTATGTGGATATAGGGCGCAGAAGCTAAAACAGATTAATTGGACAACAGCCTGTTCCCCTCCTTTAAAGAAAGCCGGCTGAATGCAGAGAAGCCACATACAATAGGGTTAAGTTCCATTATTATGTGGCCTGTGAAATCGTTTTGTATTGTTGTCTTCTTGACCATCTGCAAACAATTTCTGCCCATCATGATCCTACACTTTACATAAAGGACAGCCTGAGGATTTTAAGGAGGGACAACATAGCAAAATCATGCTTTAAAACAATCGCATGCTGGACTGACTTTTGTATGTAAGAAAACTTCCAAGGCAAAGGAAAAAAAGCTTTTGCACTGAGATTCCAGAACAACCACCCACCACCACACAATTGCTCGGTTTTCCCAATCTCAGTATACGAGTTAGGTTATGTTTATTTGGTATTTCCCAAAATCATTCTGTAGGGCCTAGAAATGCAGTTTATCTTCTAAGCAGGGAATTTTCCTGTGTGCTTCAAAGAAGGTCTCCTTAATGCTCGTTTCAAGGAGTCTCTTCAATCATTTCTATTGCAATTGCTGTATTTTTTAATTTGTCCGTGAACTGTGTAGCCACTCTTCATTCTGTGCTGCTCTGAAAAAAGCCAAATTCCCTATGAATCTCATGCAACCAGCACAAGCAGAGTGAAATTCTATCCCTGCTGGAGACAGTGGGAGCTCCACTGTTGATTTTTCATAGGTTTAATAATTTTCCCACCAGCTCCAGTTCACTCTTGTGCCATACTGTGAATTACCAGTCACATCAGTAAATGTAAAGCCGATGTAAAGGCACGTAGAGTTTCTGCTAAGTCTGGCCAAGTAATTTCCTTTTTTTTTCAGCAGGAAAAATCAGGATTTTGCTGCCAAGAGGTACGAGAGGTGTTGGGTCCATCTTTCTCAATATAGTGTTAACCCTTGAACAGTATATTGGTTCTTCAACTTCCTGAACACCCAAGGTCACTGAAGTTCACTGTTTCCAGTCATGGCCCATCAGTTGCCCGTACTCTGCCTGGAAGGATGCTCAGGAGGACGTGTAAATGATGAGCATTTTTAAATATACTGTAACTAACTCAAATGTCCTGTGGGTAAACAGTGGGAGACACAAAGCAGGCACTATCAAACATATGGCCTGCTTAATGGTAATGGAGATAATAAGGTAGAAAACGTGCATTTTAATCTTATATTTCAGGGGGAAGAAATAGACCAGGAAAGCATATGGCTTTGCTCATGCAGGCAAAAACTGCTCATACACTTAGACCTTTCTGTAGCCCCTTGCAGGCATAAGCATAGAGTAGCTGCATTCAGCCTTTAGAGAACCGTATTAGAGCCTTCCCTGTGCTGTTTGCACATCGAAGCCAGCCAGCTGGCACAAAGGGAACCAGGCTATGCTCTACTTCTTTGCCCCCCACAGCACACTGAATCATTTCTCCCAATTAAGGGAAAGTTTATTTTAACAAGACTTTGGGGATCCCTTCAGACCTTTGGACAAAGCTAGCTGTACCACAGTTACTTTGTACCTCCTTGAAAGATACAAAAATCCACACACACTCTTTCATTTTTCTTAACATAATGGTATATTAAATATATTTGTATGTTACAGCGTGTGGAGACCTCATAGCAGCCTTCCAGTATCTGAAGGGGGCCTACAAGGATACCGGAGAGGGACTCGTCATTAGGTACTGTAGTGATAAGACAAGGGGTAACGGGATAAAACTTAAACAGGGGAAGTTTAGATTGGATATAAGGAGTAAGCTCTTTACTGTGAGGGTCGTGAGGCACTGGAATGGTTTGCCCAGGGAAGCTGTGAATGCTCCATCCCTGGCAGTGTTCAAGGCCAGGTTGGACAGAGTCTTGGGTGACACGGTTTAGTGTGAGGTGTCCCTGCCCATGGCAGGGGGTTTGGAACTAGATGCCCTTAAGGTCCTTTCCAACCCTAACTATTCTGTGATTCTGATTCTGTGATATTTAAAGTGGTTCTCAAAGGTGATTTGCTGCAGCTGCACAGGCATCACAGCATTTTTGCACCAAAAGGAGTGTGTGGCAGCTGATGTTGCTGCTGATGCTGCCAGCAGACAACAGTGAGAACTAGGAAGGGTCTTAGTACAGACATTTGTCAGGGAGAATACCACGCCAGCACTCAGGTGGGCTTCAGGTGCACTGTGGGGAAGGGCACCCCTTGCTGACATTAAATCAAGACCTATTAGGCTTACAAATGAAGGTGAGTAAAGCTGAAGTATTTATGCATAGGTGTGAGATCAGTACACAATATGCCTGGCATGAGGGGCTGCTCTGAGTTTTGCTGCAACCTGCTAGAGAGAAAGAAAGGAGCTGATGGGAAGAGTCAAAAAAAATAAAAGGGTATAAGGGAAATATCTGTCTCCTTAAATGTCTGTCCTTCTGTGGAAATGATGTGATGATAGCTCTGTCTTGCTATTGAGTTTTCTCTAAAAATAAACTGGGATGCTATTTGAGCTCTTCCAAAACATAACATGCACAAACTACATGAAGAGTTAGGACAGTGTGGTGAAGGCAAGAGAGAAAGGTCAGTAGACTGGCCACATTTGGAGCTGCAGCTCCTCAGATTACTTGGTAATGCTGTTCAGAGCAAAAACTCTGGTTTGTCTGGCAGGAGACTAGCAAGCATCCCTGAAGAGCAGCAGAATGACCTTTCTGATAGCTAAGGTTTTCAGAACTTGAACAGAACTGTGAGTGGGACGTAACAGGCTAGGGGATGAGGAATTAGTTCAGGATTAGAAAAGAAAGCCAACCATCATCAAAAGAAGCATGACCAGCAGGTCAAAGGAGGTGATCCTGCCCCTCTACTCTGCTTTAGTGAAACCCCACTTGTACCACTGTGTGCATTTCTGGTGTCCTCAACATAAAAAGGACATGGAACTGTTGGAACAAATCCAGAGGAGGGCCACGAGGATGATCAGGGGGCTGGAGCATCTCCCATATGAAGATAGGCTGAGAAAGTTGAGGCTGTTCAGCCTGGAGAAGAGAAGGGTGCATGGAGACCTCATAGCAGCCTTCCCGTATCTAAAGGGGCCCTATAGGGATGCTGGGGAGGGACTCTTCATTAGGGACTGTAGTGATAGGACAAGTGGTGATGGGTTCACACTTAAACAGGGGAAGTTCAGGTTAGATATAAGAAAGAAGTACTTTCCTGTTAGGGTGGTGAGGCACTGGAATAGGTTGCCCAAAGTAGCTGTGAATGCTCCATCCCTGGCAGTGTTCAAAGCCAGGTTGTACAGAGCCTTGGGTGACATGGTTTAGGGTGAGGTGTCCCTGCCCATGGCAGGGGGGTTGGAACTGGATGATCTTAAGGTCCTTTCCCACCCAATCCAGTCTGTGATTCTATGATTCTATGATTGTTACCCAGCACACCCAAACAACATTTCCTCTCAGATGTTCTACCTTCCACAGGCACAACCTCTTTGTTTCCCCATATTTTTTTTATTTTGATTTCTTTGGATTTGCTTCTTACCCATGACACAGCACTGATCTTTCTGGAGTGCTCTGATGGCATCAGTTTATTTCCCCAGTTTAGGTATTAAGGCTTGGGCTGACGTTAGAGAAACTTGCAAC